AATGGGTTGTATCATGGGCAAAATGTGCGCGCTCGTTCTATGGCACAGGAGACGAACTCGACTATTGTCGGTGTGGCGGTGAACCAGTTCGTCATGCTGTCTCGATGGAGCTATGTGCGATATGGTTGTGCGTATCAACAAACAGGGTGTGTACCCTGCGTTGATGTTTTTATGTATATTCATCTATCTATCTCTCGATCTCCGTCTCTCTATCCCTCTATCTCCCTGTCTCTCTGTCTTATCTCTCTATCGGTCTCTCTGTCCCTATCTTGTCTATCTGCCTTTGTATCTGTCAATCTCTATATCCATCTCTCTATCTCCTGTCTTGCTGTCTGTCCACCAGACTGCCTGCCTGGCTGGCTCTGGCTGGCTGGCTAGCTGTCTGTCGGTCCATCTATCCATCTATCCATCCATCCATCCATGCATCCATGCATCCATCCATCCGTCCGAAAGTCCATCCATGCATCCGTCCGTCCATCCTTCCATCCGTCCGTCCATCCTTCCATCCGTCCATCCGTCCATCCACCTATGCACACACCCCTCTCTCGCTCTCTCTGTGTCTATATATCACTCTATCAACATGTCGTTTTATATGCCTACATCCCGACATATATGAACGTGGGGATTTCCGCGTTCGGAGCCTCGGGGTCTGGGGCCGGCCTCTACTTTACCCCTTCACATCTATTCATACAGAACATGGCAACGTCCACATTTTTTCGGTTTGGGGTTTAGGGTTTTTTTTGCACGTTTTGGAGGCCTGTCTGCGACGTTCCTGCGCAGCTCTGCTGCACCCGGAGTGGTTTCGGCAGGGCAGAGCTTGAGCCCCTGAAAGCGGCTTAGCAGACTTTTGGGTGTCGGAGTTCAGTATATAGATACTAAGTCTTTGCAGGATGTTAAAATAGTTTAGTTCTAGGGTAGAGAAGTTCGGATTTGCAGATGCAGGGCCACGCAAGGCCCTAAACAGTGGCGCAGGAGTACCCCTCCGGTGCCTGTTGGCTGTGTCTTTTTCAGCAGCGTCATGGAGTTCAGGATTCCGGCTCAAGGGTTCAGGGTTTAGGGTTACAGGGTGTGAGTTTTTTTTGGGGGTTGGGGGTACTAAAGGGGTCTAGGGCTTGTAAAGGGGTCTAGGGCTTGGGGCAATATTTTTTGGATTCGTTGCTTAACGAGACTAGTGTATTGTTGCCCCCCCCTTCTGTATCAGTTTAAAAATATTTGCAATATATGATATAAGCCCTCCGTATGACCCTTAACATAGATTGTCACAGGGTGCGGCAAGTACCCAACTTATGGTTTCATTAATAAGCCCTTATGGTGCCCTTTAGTACACTCCAAGGAACCCTTGGAGAAACCCTCATAGCTTCCTTAAAGGAACCGTAAAGAACCCTAAACCCTAAACCCTAAACCCTAAACCCTAAACCCTAAACCCTAGTATGAATCCTTACATGAGGGTTGAGGCTGTGGGCCTTGAGGGTTGGAGGGTTCAATGGCTGAGGCAAGATCCGGCTTGGTGTTGAACCGTACCTTAACCTACCAGAACCTACTATTTTGGGTAGGGTCCCTATAAATTCCATAGTAGGGTTTATGGTAAGAACCTACAGAAAGTAGGTTATGATAGTCATGTAAACCCTAAACTTTCCTAAACTGGTTTGTTGTAGAGGGATGAGGGTCCTTAGTTATTCGTGTCAGTGTGCCTGCTTGAACTTGGATAACTGAGCCATGAGCTGTTGTCGCTGTCTGAGAGTGTTTCAAAGCTACTTAGGGCATCTGTCTATATTGCTGGTCTTGCAGAATTATGGGTGTCGTTTATCATTAGTAGACAGTAGATTAGGTCATTTCCCATTAGAGAAACTGTCCCGCACGAAGGAGGGACTGAGGCCTTGATATGCCTACACTTATCCGCCGTGGGAGCTGTATGCGACTGTTACCTGGCAGGGATCTACTTCACACCTTCCTCAGCCAACATTGCAGATCCCTGATTAGCAAATGCTCCCGCCCTTCTGGCGGACTTGGCCGTGATGCCATTCCTATTCTTCAGGTCCTTGCAGAAGAAGTTTGAGTAGCCCGTCCTTTGTATTAACCATCGTGAGGCTGTCGCAGGGTAGGGCCCGCAGAAGATAAGTTTTCATCTAGTATAGGGGCCTTAATGATCAGAACAGGGCCCATGATACTATACTGTTAATAATCATTCTTAAGGCCCCTATATTATGCTCTCACTGAAAGTTTCAAACTTGACCGGGAACCGCCCCTCTAAGAAGTTTGTCAGGGCTATGGCCGCACACAGTGCTTCTCTGGCTGGGCCGCTGATCTCATTTACTGTGTGTGTGTGTATGGGGATTGCTTTTGGGCGGGGGTTATGCAAGAGCTCTTTCTTCTAGCAGAGTGTTGACCCTTGAGGCTTGGTTCCCGGAGATTGGGTCTTGACGTATAGGTGCGGTTTAAGGTCGAGGCTCAGGGCTTAGGATTAGGAACTGCGCCATGCGTGCAAAGTGTGAAGGACACGAGTGGGCAACTTAGTTTTTGTTGCGGCAATAGGGGAAAATATAAACCAAAAAGTATATACATGTATGTATGTATACATATATACTTGGATTATGTATACGTATGTATGTAGAGCAGTTCAATAAGCACGGTCCCATGCACTACTTGTGGTTAGTTATATCAGAGTCTCGTTTCACAGTCGTGAACACGTTAGACTTGGCGTGATGCCAAGCATAGGTAACGAACTGGGATGATTGTTAATTGCCCTGATTGTTCAATACAAAACCCGAACCATGTCGTGTTGAGGTAGTTTACCTCCTTGTGTGACTAGCCTACTTCAGCATTATGGTAACTTGGACTAAGTTCCGGAGAATCTTTGAGACCCCTGACCCCTATCAACTTTCAGGCCTCTACCGCCAGAGATCTCATATCTATGGTAATTTACATTTTGTTCGACACCCTAAACCCGAAACCCTAAAGAAACCTTATTCCATAAAGCAGCCCTGAACCGCCAAAATTTCCTGCGCCTTCAGCCTTAAACTAACAATAACCTAGCCTACTATAGGGGCCTTAATAATTACCTATACTGTTTTGCGGGTTCCTTCTTGTAATTGTAGTATAATGGGCCCCAAAACCCTATTCTAATTATTAAGGCCCCTATGTTAGGCCAAGAGTCGGTGACAGCGCGGCTGCGCTCGCTGGAGCTCTGAAGATCTAGGTGCCGGGCCGTCTCTGACACTTGGGGGTTTAGGGTTCATTTGAGGGGTTCTATCAGGGGTCTGTATGGTTCTATACAGGATTTCTGAGGGTTTCCTAAAGTTGGGGGTTACCTTTCTGAAGGGTCTTTATCGTAAGGACCCCACTCTTGGGTTCGGTATCAGTCTGTGCCATTTTCTGCAGCTTCCCGTTTGGCTCGAGGGAAAAGATCTAAAGTGGAGGGAAGGCGGTTTGATGCATTTCGGGTTCAGGTCTAAAGGGATGTTCGTTTAGGATAACGGTCGGGTTTACGCGAACTCAGGTTTGTGCTTTAGAGGTTTGGGCTGGACATGGGTTGCAGGTTTAGGTGGCCGCCCCTTTAGGTAGCGGGTCAAGAAGACAGAAAACGATCCCAGCATTGGTTCAACAGTACTTGTACCATTCTAAGTCCTAGATCCCAGAACCCGAAACACTTGTAAGCGGAAGTAGAGAAACTTCCTGAACCGAGTCCCTATGTGAAGAATCCAGCCTGCGAAAGGGCGCCCGCAGTCGAGAGCCTTGATAGTTCGATCATAAAATGTACGAAACGCGTGATATCTCTAAGCCAAAGACACCCCATAAGATCTTACACAACCTTGTAAAGTTTCCATACTCGCCTTGATGTGGCGTCCCGGTAGCAGGGACAGCATGCCGATGTTCATAGCACACCATGGCAAGCGCGGTTGGTGGTAGAGCCATGTGCTTGAAGGTTCGTAGTTAGTTGGGTAGTTCTCTACGTCAAGGTCCCTTTTGGGGTCCCTACCATAGTACGGCACCCCCCTAATTTAGAGACCTGCCCATGTCTCGCGACCGCTCTAAGCCGACTTGCTGCGAACTCGTTTAACTCCACAACAAACATCTTTAAGAGCTTGGCAAGAGCTTTAAGGTTTAGGGTTTAGGGTCTGATAGAAAAAGTTCAGGGAACCATAAGCCCTACACCGAGGTTACGTCGACAGCGTTTGAAACGTAGCCTATTTACAAGCCCTTTTTTGGCGCTTGTTCAGACCCAGTTGAGGCCTTTTCAACCTTCAGCCCTAAACCCCGAACCCGAAAGCCTTATAACCCTAAACCCTACAACCCTAACCATTATAGCATAAGCCGTAGACCCTAATCCAAGCTTTGACAGATAAGGGCCACCAGTCACCAGTGTTTTTCAAGTCCGGACATGTAGGTTCAGTGCTTTTCTGGTTGAATGTTTGGGCCCTAAAGCCTAAACCCCAAACCCTAAACCCTAAGCCGTAAACGCTTTTGGGCTTCAGGTTTAAAGTCAAATGTTTCGGGGTCGAGGGTTCCAGGGTTGGAGGGCTCTTTAGCAACGGAAGTGGGAGTTTCTGGAAATCCCTCTGCCTTACACCCTTAAACCCTAAACCCCAGACTGTAAACCCTTAAAGCCCTAAACCCTAAACCTTAAACCTAAAGCCTTAAATCCTAACCTTAAACCTTAAACCCTAAAGCCCTAAACTGGAAAGGCTTAAACCCTAAACCTTGAGCCCTAAAGCTCTAAACTCGAAAGGCTTAAACCCTAAACCTAAACCTTAGACTCTAAAGGCTTAAACCGTAAAGCCCCAGAGCCCTCGAAAACCTTGACCTCTTGGCTTCCTCACAGCTGGAGTGTAGGGGAGACGGGTTTCTACAGTAACTGAAGGTTTCTAGGAGGGTTTAAGGTTTGTATAAGAGTTTGGAATTGGGGTTTCAACAAGGGTTTAGGGTGTCTAGAAGAGTTTAGGGTTTCTGTAACGGTTTGGGGTTCAGAGCTCAAGGTTTCTGCGAGGGGTCAGGGTTTGGGAATGGCAGGTTGGGCACTCGAGCGCGGTGTGGCCGCCGTTTCAGCGAGAAGAAAAGCAGTTCGCTCAATGGAAGGGCGCGGACGGTCGAGCGAGGGATTTTCAGTTTCTATAGGACAAGGTCAGGACTACGTTAAGCGATCCCCGCAACGGTATCTCTCCTGACTTTTCTATCCCTTGTATGTGAATACCCAGAAAGGTGACCATCATGATCAGGATGAGGGCGAGCATGGGTGAGTCAGACCAAGGTGGCGATGCCGACAGCAGTGCCGATGTGACAATGCTCAAGGTGAAGATGATGATGCCATCAGTACGATACCAATGACATGATGTTGGCGACGTCGGTGATGACGACGATGATGCTGATGATGATTTTTCGATGATGGCGACGATACTGATGTCGAGGATATCTGCAGTGATCAAGATGCTGTCGACATCGATCGCATTGACTGTGCTGCAACTGCTGCAGCAGCCGCTGCACTGCCTACTGTCAGTGCTGCCGTCACTGCTACGTAGATGCTAGCTTCGTTGTGGGCAATGATGTTGTTGCGGTTGTGGTTTTGGTGGTGGTGGTGGTGGTGGTTGCTTGTACTGCTAGGAAGTACTCCAAAGTTGTTGCAAACCTTTGTCGTAGTGATGGCGGTGGTGCTGGTGCGGTGGTGACACTTGCAATGATCGTGCAAGACACAAAAAGAGTAGTGATAATCGAGATTACGTCGGTAACGACCTCCGTGATGAGGGTGAACATAGAAAGAGATGGACGATGTTAGCGACCGATGCTGCTGACGGGTGGCAATAAGCATGTGTACCACTAGATAATTACTATCATCATCAATTTTTTTTCCTCGGGCGAATTCCCGTAAAGAGAGAACGATGATCGGCCCTAGCCCTAGCCTTCTAACACCTCGAAGCCTTTACCCCTTAACCCCAAACCTCCTAACGACCTCGCAGTACTCTTCTGGAACCCGAATTGCCCGGAGACTCCAATATCCCTTAATTAAGGAATATAACTTCGAAATCATATTAGGGATCCTACTATTATTTAAGGTATATTCCTTAATTAAGGGATATTGGAGTCTCTGGTGAAACCTTGATAGAAACCTTTGCGAACTCCCGCAAAGGAAGCCTTCAGAGCACCCGACACCCGAAACCAAGGAACAATAGAGGATCATGGGACTTAGTAAGTAAGGTTCCTTAGGGCTTAGGGTCTACTAGGGCCTACTTAGAGGACGATGGAATTTAGTAAGGTTATAAGTAGTTGAAAATATAGTTGCCTTATTGGTAAAACTGGTTACAGTTAATGAGAAACAAAATCTCACGAACCTCTAAGCAGGTCTACCAAATGGGTGGTGAGTGCAATTCAGCCTTCGGCGCCATTGGCCACCTCCCGTGCGGGGCTTGGGAGGAGACGAAGACGAACTTCAGAGGGAGTTAAGGGTTTAGTATAGGGGCCTTAATGCTAATTGCCTATACTATTTTGGGGGCCCCTTATTATACTTATAGTATAGTGGGCTTCCAAGTCTTATTCTATTTATTCAGGCCCCTAAATCAGGTTCTGGGTGGTCGGCTGAGAGTTTAGAGTTCAGTGTTCGGGGTTTTGTGTTTAGCCAGAATTACCAACATGAGTACTCGCATGTGGGTTGTAGCACGTTTTTGAGGGTTTTGGGGGAGCTTAACAAATTTGTAAACGTTGGTTAGGTAGAGAGGTTCCTTGCAGAAGTGATCCTGAACTCATGCAAAGAGTTTTGCACAGCTTAGCAATGCTTTGAAGGGGCATGACAAAACTCAGACTTCAGGGGATGTTTGCCGCAGCTGTAAGAAGAGGAAAAGGCAATTCATGGCCATGTAGGAATGCCGTAATCTGGGTCCGTCATCAGATTATTTGGAGCTGCCAAGCGCTGATGCTAAAATGGCAAGAGTAAAAACCATGGTCAGAGAACGCCTTACACAATAAACTCTAAACCCTGAACCCTGCAAGCTATGTCCTGAAAACCCATGGTAGTTCGCCAGACTTGGGTATTCCGATCCCTATAGTAACCCCCTGACCCACAGACCCTGAACTTTGAACCCTTGCTGTAGTGTTTCTGGCCTAGGCTTCAGGATTCTTGCTTAGGGGATTTTGAATTCTGTTCCCTTCCCGGAGGTTCCACTTCCTCTACCAAGACCTCAACAGAGTGGATGTGACCGCCCTGATGGTGAAGGCGCAAGCCCAAACCGCAAGGCTCAACTTGAGTTCCCAATGGCTTGATCCCCAACCGCCGTCCTAAGCGCGGAGGTCTGATTGATTAGTAATGGTATTCCCTTTGATAGTCCCTATGTAGTTGTGCGATAATATACCAACCCCAACCTTCTGGTTTTTCAGGTCTGCATCATGATTCCTAAACTAAAGTGTTTCGTTCACTTAACGTAGGTTTGTTTTGGAGTTTTCGCGAGGGTTTCCAGGACTAGGAACAGTGGTGGTGTGGGTTGTATTATTATTCTGCTGAGGGTTTCTCCGACTATTTAGGAGCATGGGTGAGTGTACGTCTCTGTACGTTTCAAAGCTTTCCTTCTACACCCTTAGTCCCCAACACATGAGCAGGGTTTGCTTTTTAAAAAGGAGTATCCGAGGTGCTCTTCCCCCCCCTGGAGGAGCCTCCACGTACTGAGAACACGCTCGTAGAACCTTATGCTTCAAATCCCTCAAGCTCCCTGCGTAGGACCTATAAGACCCTTGTAAAACACTACCAGCACTTTTTTTTATCCTCTAGACATCCCTGTCAAACCTGTTCAACATCCCCAAACCCGTGCCTATGCAGTGTACCCCGGACCCCAGGAAGTAGGAACCTGGATTTAGGATGATACATGCTGGGATTCCCTGCACTTTACCTTAAATGCATGAGGATAGTGATGTTCCACGTTTCCGGCTTCTACGATAAGATCACTAAGATAAAAAAGAAGGAGAATAACAAGAACAAGAAGAGACATAACGAACACATGAAAAGAGTTTGATACTTTTTTGCTTCACCTTCAGCTCTTTTCCGGGCCTTAGAGTTCAGGGCACCCTAAGCCTTAGGACCTAAACCAAAACCCTCAAAAACCCTTAACCCTAATCCCCAAACCCTAAGCCCGTAAACCCAAATCCCTAAACCTGTAAGCCCTCGTCCCGAAACCCGTAAACCCTAATCCCTAAACCCGTAAACCCTAAGCCCTAAACCCGTAAACCCTAATCCCTAAAGCTTTAAACCCTAAACCCTTCCAACAGACAGGTGGCCCTGTCCTGCGAGGTGGCCAATGGGCCAAAGGCTGAGGGGACCACAGCGCGATTGGTTCAGGCGCTGTCGTCAGAGTCCCGGCGTACCACCTCCTTGGGGGAGCAGGCGCGCCAGCCGCCAGTGCCAGAGAAACTCCAATGGGTCATGGAGGCCAGTGGGGCCAGTGGCGGCAGTGGCTGCTCGTCGAGGCGGCAGCAAAGACGCAGACGGTAACTGGGAGAGCATCGCCCTCAGAAGCAGGACGCATGCACAGAGCGCAAGGCCTTCATGTGAGCCTGCAAGTCTCGAGCAGTAGATTTGCCCTCGGGTGAGGGTTTAGGGTTGAGGGCTTAGGGTCTGCCAGCGTAGCGTGGCGCCCTCAGCAATTCATCTGAAATTCTTTTCCCTAGGGGCGTGCCCCTAAGCCCTAAGCTCCGAAGCCCCCAATCCTTAAGCCTTTAAACCCTAATCCCTAAACCCGCAAACTCAAATCCCTAAACCCCAAACCCCAATCTCTAAGCCTTCAAACCCTAAACCCTAAACCCCAAACCCTAAACCCCCAATCCCTAGACCCCTAAAGACCTAAACACCTAAACCCTAAACCCATAAACCCTAAAACCCTGAACCCCTAAACCCTAAACCCCTAAACCTAATCCATAAACCCCCACCCATAAACCCATAAACCCACAAACCCTAAACCCCTAAACACCTAAACCCTTAAAGCTCGTTGTCCAGGCCCACGTCTTCATGGACACGCCTCTGCGGGACACGCTCTCGCGGGAGGCCCACGAGTTTGTCTGGTGCCAGGAGGACGGGGAGGGGTTTAGGGATTGAGGGGTTTAGGGTTTGGGGTTTAGGGACTTAGGGGTTTAGGGTTTAAGGGTTTAGGGGGTTCGTTGTGAAGGTAGGTGGGATCTTCCCAAATAAGAGCCTTGAAATACAAAGATGAGAGATTCAGGTAGGTGGGATATCGCAATTACGAGCCTTTAAATACAAAGATGAGAGATGCAGGTAGGTGGGATATTCCCAATTAAGAGCCCTCAAATAGGGGATCCTTCATCCTACCTAGCTTCATCCCACCTTTTGAGGCTTCGGATATTCCGGAGCTCGGGATGCTCAAGCTGTTTCGTAACGGCCGGGTTTCTTTAAAGGGTTCCTCTTTGGAAGGGGTAGTAATTGGAATAGGGTTTTGGGGGTTCCTTATTATAGTCATAGTATAATCTACCACAAAACCGTGTTTTAACTATTAATTAAAGGCTCCTACATCAGCTGGGACTAGGAGGGTTGTTTTAAGGGTGAGTGTTAAGGATTTATAAGGTCTTTCTAGTTTCCTTTCAGGGTTTGTAGGGGTTTTGTAGGGTTCTGGTTATGGAGTTCAATCGAAGTTACCACCATGATATGTACTGTTTATAGATCCGAACTCTGGTAACTTAAATTCACTAACAAGAACCCAGTAACGGCTACCATAGAGGTTGCTTCAGGAGTTGAGAGTTGAATAAAGGTTTGAGGGCATCACGGTTCAGGGGCCACTATAAGGGCTGCTATATGGACAACAATGAGGATTCCACATGGTTTAGGGGTTTGGGGTCTAAGGGTTTTGGCATTCCGGTTTTTCTATTCTAACGGGTTTCCAGCTTGAAGGAGTTTGGGTTTCAGGCCTCTTGAAAACTATTTTGGGAGTTCCTTACCATTACTCATACATGGGAGTTTCCGCAAGTTCGGGGTACCCTATTTTGGGGTACTGATAAGAAAGCATCCTACTATTCATGGTACTACATCAGGATCCCCTATTTTCGGAAACCCCCATATCAGGCCTTGGGACCTTAGACGCACTACTTTGAGAGTTCCTTATGACCATTACCCCCATATCAGGCCTTGGGACCGTAGAAGCAGTTCCTCCTACCGTGGCTGGGAAGCGCCTCCTAAGAGAAATGGTTCCCATAGAGCGGCTTTGAGGCTGAAAATGCTGGTTAAGCGTTTCAGGGTTTAGGGTTTGGGGTTTGGGGTTTAGGGTTTGGCGTTTTAGGGTTTTAGGGTTTTAGGGTTTAGGGTTTGGTGTTTAGGGTTTAGGGTTTTAGGGTTTTAGGGTTTCGGGTTTAGAATCCAAGCTCCTGGCGGTGTGGCATTGATGTGGGCTAAACCCCAAAGCCGACACCCGAAAGGTACCTTTGTACAGCCCAAACCCTAAACCCTAAACCCTAAACCCTGAACCGAGGAGCCGGACTGCGGTGTTCTGATTCTGTCCGAGTTCTCCGGCTCCGCACAGTCGCTTCGCGCCGCTGCCATCTGTGCGGATCTTGGGTGTTACTGTTTTGGGCTTCCTTTAAGGGCTCCTTTATGTAACCCTGATAGCAGCCGATATAGGACCCCTGTAAAGGAATCCTTATGGACCTCTCTAGGATGGCTCTTCTAGGTTTTGGGATATTGTAGGGTTCGGGATTTGGGGTTTAGGGTTCAGGACTTTGGGTCTTGGGTTCGGGAGTTTGTCGGTTGTATTAGGGTTTGCGATGTAGGTTCACCGTCGTGAGATAGTACTCGAGGTACTTGAAGTCTTGAACATCATGCACACTGCTGGGGTTTCTACGACTGCATCCCCGCTTGAATAATTGTTTGCGCTATTCTTCTGATTCTTCTTTGGTTAATGACAGCTTTATGATATTTTGGGTGCACGCATCAATACTCAGGAACCTGTGCATATTGTTTGTCGACTCGAACCTGGTCGAGGCTGAATCTTGCTGTTTGTATATGAGTACACTTGCTTGGACGACACATGAGGCATAGGGCTGGGCTTGATAGAGTTTGGCACCCAGTCGGCGGCCTGGTTGGTGCGTTGCCGACATTGCTTGACTCACATTCAGAACAGGGAGACCAGGCTGGCGTAATATTGCGGCCCAAATACTTGCCAATACGATTGTGGGAGTTCCTTACTATGATTACAGTGAATAATTACCAATGCGATTGTGGGGGTTCCTTATTATGATTACAGTATAATATACCCAAATACCCATTGCAACTATTAAGGCCCCCATACTACAGCTTTAATAAGCAGAAGTTTCCAGCTTGCCTCGAGCAGAAAAACCTGTCCTTGCATGATGCCAAGTCTTTTTCCCAGGGCTGGCTGAAGAAGGGGCCTCGAAAATTAGCACAGGGTTTTGGAGGTTCCTTATTATAATTGTTAGTATTATGTACCCCCAAACCTTGTTCTAATTATTAAGGCCCCACATTAGGCAAGGCTTTCGATGGTCAGTGGCTGGACATGTCTCAACTTGCCTCCACTTTGCGCTTACTCCCCGGAACACCCTGAAACTGTCCTCGTAGAATATGGCAAGGCCTGGCCTGAAGCGACAATCAAATGCCAGTGCAAGTGGCAAGGTTTTCTAATTTAGGGTCCGTTGTAGATCCCGAAAACAGTACTCACCAGTATGAAAAATAACCTGAAAGGGACTGTAATTTCGAGAACTACCGACTGAGATCTCCTAGGCTTCCTTTTAAGTCGCCCGCAAAGGGAAACCTATACATCCATAATATGAAGCCCCTTTTTTCAAGGTACATTCGGGGTATTTGGGCACTCCCCGACGAGAGGCAAAGGCCAAGGGCCTTCGGCTGCTCGGTGCGTTTGGTGCCAGCCCAGGGGCTGCCGTAGAGCCAACCAACTACTATACTAGACCAGACTGTAAACCCTAAACCCTAACCCCTAAACTCTACTAGAGTGTACCAGACTGCACATAGTTAATATAGAGTATAGTATAGTATCAAATAGTATAGTAAAGTATGGTATAGTATATTATAACACACCTGGATTGTGGCTTGGCCCGGTAATCTCATCCGTACTTGGAGGTTCATTGGTATCTATAAGTGGAGTTATAAGTCCCCTAATATGGGTTACAAACCCTTCCTATAACCTCACTTATCCCTAAACCCTGGACCTAAACCCTGAACCTCCAAGCAAGAAGCAGTTCCCAGGTGTGAACCCTTGGGACACCACGGCCTTCGCCGATGCCATCCAGGAGGAGTGCCGGGAGGGCCGCTAGATCCGAAACCCCAGCCTCCATTGTTCTACTTAGAGGATCATGGGACCTAGTAACTAGGGTTATAGTTAAGGTAACTATACTTGTAATTACTTATAACCCCAATTAAGGTACGTATAGCCATACTTATTAAGTCCCATGAACCTCCAAATATACCCTAAACCCCTAAACTCCTAAACCCCTGAACCTCTAAACCTCTAAAGCCCCAAATCCCTGAAGCCCGAAAGCCCTAAACCCCGAAGACCCTAAACCCCTAAGCCCGAAGACCCCTCTCCCCGAAAGCCCCAACTAAAGCCACAGAGGCCCAGAGCTCCCAGTTGCCTTCGGCACGGCTTCCCAGAGACTCCAATATCCCGTAATAACGGAATATGGCTTAAATGATAGTAGGGATCCCTTTATGATTTAAGGAATATACTTCAAGGGTCATGGGACTCAGTAACTAGGGTTATAATTAGTTACTCCTTTGCGACATACGTTTGCAGAGGATTAAGGTAACTATACTTCTACTCACTTATAGCCCCTCTTAAGGTACTTATAACCATACATACTAAGTCCCATGATCCTCCAAGCAGGCCATCGAGATGGAGTTCCAGGATCGCCGTGAGCTCCACCTCTACGGCCAGAAGCACGTCTTCGAGCACACGCAGAGGCAGATGCAGTCAAGACTGACGGGCTTAGGGTTTAGGGTTCACTGACGACTCAGGTATTACCCCCGAATCCTGGGAATAGGCACACCGGTTTGTTCCAGCCATTATTGTCAGTGTTGTTCTTGTCAGCTCCATGTTATATGAAGTCTTCAAGGCACAGATGCAACTGTTACAAGTGTCTGTAGCAATTTATGTACGCACGTAAGATACGTTCGTATTTGTATTTCTGGCTTTCAGACCCAACCCGAAAATCTGCGAAGTTTCCAGACATTTCCCACTGTAGCCGGGCTGAAAACTGTGCCCAAGGCCTTCGACAGATCGTGCATACCATGGGGTATAGGCACCTGAACAGTCTGAATTTCTGAACCTTGTTTCGTGGCATGCATATTTGCATGTAAGGGTGTTGCCATATGATGGCATGGGCAGATAGTGGCTAGCCTATAAGGGATATTCCAATAGATTTGCAGGCATCCACGTTACCTGTAAGTCAGGTCGTGGAGATTGCCTGAAGTCAGCCAAGAGCACCCTAAACCCCCGAAGCTCCTGATGCCTAACCCGGAAAACCTCTGAACACTCCCCCCAGACCCTAGGCCCTAAGCCCGTATTAAATAGAGTTTTAGCACCCTAAATAGTAGGATCCTTACTATAAGGATACCCAAAATAAGGTACCCCTAACTCTCGGAAACTCCCAAATCCCTAAACTGGCGTGGTGGGGAACATGGGACTTTGATCTTCCCTGGGCTCCTGTCGGGAAACGGGGGCGGGCTCAGTCTTCCGGTTTCTGGAGCTGAGCTCAGAATTTTTGGTTCCCATAGTTCCCAGTTCCCACAAAGGAGAGGGTTGGAAAAGGTCACCAGGGAAACATGTTTTTTCTGCTCCCTCCTTCTCTCCCTCTGCCTCTCGCTCTCTCGCTCTCTCGCTCGCGCTCTCGCGCTCTCGCGCTCTCTGGCTCTCGCTCTCGCTCTCGCTCTCGCTCTCGCTCTATCTCTTTCTCTCTCTCGCTTTCGCTCTATAGATACACATGTGTATATTTGCATGCGTACATGCCTACATACCTACATACCTACATACATACATACATACATACATGCATACATACATACATGCATATACATACGCATATATATATATATGTGTGTGTGTGTGTATGCATATACATATTGGCAATTATGGTAGCTTTCCAACCTGGCTCGTTAACTGCAGCCCAGCCTTCAAACCCTGTGCAACCACCTCAGCCACAGCCTCGTAGTTCTAAGTGGGGTTATAAGTCCCGGAATATGGGCTATAATTGTAGTTACCCTACTTACAACTACCGATGAACCCCCAAGTACCTCGGAGAGGCGATGGGCGGCCAACTTCCTGGATGAGATCGTTACTGCCAGGGTCTTGGTTACCCTTCCCCTAAACCCTAAACCCCTAAACAGAGTTTAGGGTTTAGAGTCTTGTTCATCCTCTTTTACTCAAAAAGTCGACGTGGAGCGATCTCACCCGAGCCCGAAGAAGCCATGAAGAGCACAGCTTGGGCCGCAGACGCGCCGTTCGATTAGGGGTTCCGCTAAACCCCTGATTCTAAACCCTAAACCCCGAGACCTTGAACACTAAACTTAAAGCCCTTTTAGAACCCTTAGAGATCCCTTATAGTAATCCTTAGAGGAACCTTTAAAGGATCCTTTCAAAGGAGGCCCCCGAAACCCAGCCGAGGCTGAGCGGGAATGCGAAGATGAGCGACTGCAGATTCCTCCTCCGTTCGCGAGCCGAGACGGGGGGGAGGGTGTCGAGGGCTGCTAGTGTAGGAGTCTTAATTAATCAGAGTAGGGTATATATATATATATATATATATGTAAGTTATATAAGGGCTACTATAGGGGCCATTATAAGGATTTAGGTGGGGGGGGCCTTAATAATTAGAGTAGGGTTGTGGGGCCCATTATAGTAGAGTAATAAAAAGGAACCCCCCCCAAAATAGTATTGGTAGTTATTTAGGCCCCCACGGTAGGGTCCAGGGTTTAGGATGCAGGGCTTCCAGGGTTGGGGTTCAGGGGGCAGGGAGGCCAGGGCTTTGGGTTTAGGGTTTAGGGTTTAGGGTTTAGGGTTTAGGGTTTAGGGTTTAGGGTTTAGGGTTTAGGGTTCCTAAAGCCCCTAAAAGTATGAGGAATAATGTTATTAAGCTTTCCAGGCCATGGGTTTAGAGCGGAACAGATTCACCTTACCTTTGGTTAGGGAAACGGGCTCCTTTAAAGGGATCTATAGGGGTTTAGGGTTTAAAGGGATCTTTACCTTTGGTTAGTAGGGAAAGGAGGAATGGGGTACAATTATAACTACTCTGACTACCACTCTTCCATTCCCCTACGAACCAAAGGTGGGTCACTACTTTATGCAAGCAGTGCAGGGGTGTTTGGTGTTTTGTAGAATGTTGACAGGCGAGACGAAGATCGCACCGCTGGAGTTACTCATGATACTCCCTTTTAGGGTTCAGGGTTTAGGGTTTAGGGTTCCCTTCCACATTTCTTCAGACCACGGGCATTTGGCTCGTAGACAACATCGCAGCGTTGATGGCTCTGATTAAGGCCAGGAGTGACTCGCCCGAGTTCGACATTACGGCGCACAGTGTCCACCTGTTTCTTTTCCACCTTAGGGCGAGCCTGTGGTTTTAATGGGTGCCAGGCCAAAGGAACTGGTCAGACGCAATCTCCAGGGAGGAGGGACTGCGTGACAAGTGGCACCAGGATCACCACTTCCGTACACACGCCAGTACGGTACAAGGTTACCAGGGGTGCTATAGGGTTTGGAGAGCAGCTGATAGTTTTCCGAAGAGTTGCTTGCATGTTTCAGATGCAGCAGAAACATCACAATTCCTGTTGCTGGCCTGATCTTTTAACGCGCTTTGTGTACAGATCCTGAGCCCAAAACCCTAAATCCTGAACCCTACGCCCTAAACACGAAGCCCAGGACCTGGACTTTGAGAGAAAAGGCCTTAAACCCGAGAGCCCAAGCCTAAACCCGGGGCCCGAAACGCCTTTCGGAAGTATTCCTTGGATGATCACTGGACTCAGTAAACAAGGTTATAAGTAACCCAGGGGCTTCCTTCTTATAAATATAGTATACTGAGCCCCAAACCCCTGTTCTAATTATTAAGACCCCTACATTAGCAGAATTGGGGTTTAGACGCAGTCATAAGTATAGTTACTATAGGGGCCCTAATTATTACCTATACTATTTCGGGGGCTCCTTATTTAAGAACCCACTAGGGATGCTTTTAAAGGGAACCCTATTCTAATCATTAAGGCCTCTATGTTTCCTCAAGTATCCTCATCCGGAAAGGTTGGACCACGACCACCCAGTCGCGGCCCTGCGGAAGGCTCAAATAAGCCTCCCTAAGTTTAGATTGAGCGTCGAGGGCTTCGTGTCTAGTAGGTTTTTGGGGTGGGCTTTCGCTATACTTTACGCCAAAAAGTTTATAGATTCCAAGCCTGAAATCAGGAACCACAAAAACCCCGAACGGTTGGCTGAGGCTTCAGGGTGAATCTGATGTTCGGTGCCCAAAGCCCAACACCCGTTAATTGAGGAATATATAGCTTAAATCATCATATGAGCCCCCTTTATAGTTTAAGGTCTATTCCGTAAATTAAGGGTATTGGGCTCTCCTAAACCCCTAAACCCTAAACCCTAAACCCCTAAACCCTAAACCCTTAAACCCTAAACCCCTAAACCCTAAACCCTTTTTTTGAATTGAAGCCATGTCTGGGTTTTTACTGAGCCCTTTGCTTACCTTTGGTTAGTAGGGAACGGATTAGAAGGGGCCCCCACCCTGTAATAGTGGCATAATAGGAACATAATAGGGCCCAAATATAATCCTTATAGTCACGATTACAGGGTGGGGGCCCCTTCTAAGGAATGGAAGAATGGTAGTAATAGTAGTTATAATTGTACCCCATACCTCCCTACTGATCCCAGCTCTCATCAGTATATGGGTAGTTGTCAAAATTATGGTCCCTTTTCGGGGACCCTAAATATTAGGTGCCGTATTATATTAAGGACCCAAAAAAGGACCCGAATGTTGACAGCCACCCATACGCATGTTACTTGCATCGCTTAGCATGGTTCAAGACCAGTTCTGCCTACCACTGCTATGCTGCACGTAACATACTTGGAGGTTCATGGGACTTAGTAAGTATGGTTATAAGTACCTTAATTGGGATTATAAGTAATTATAAGTATAGTTACCTTAACAAAAACCCGGGTTACTAGGTCCCATGATCCTCTAAAAGTAAACCCTAAACCCTTATTAAGGCCCCTATATTAAAGAACTCTATGATAGATCCCTTATAGAACCCTTTAAAGCAAGCCTTTCAGCCACGGCCCTGGGAAGTGTCAATGCAGCGGGCAAGGCGCGAACAGCGCCGGAAGTCGCCGACTCTGAAGGATGAAATCCCTGCAGCAGATCCCAGAGACTCCAATATCCCTTAGTTAAGGGATATAGACCTTCAGTTATGGTAGGATCCGTAATATGATTTAAGGTATATCCCCCAATTTAGGGATATACCTTAAATGACAGTAGGGTCCCTAATATGATTTAAGGTATGTTCCTTAATTTAGTGATATTGGAGTCTCTGGGGAGTGTTGAGACCAGCATGGACAAGGCCCTGGCTACCTTGGAGTCATCGACGACGCTGGCCTTGCCGAAGGGTCAGAGTGATCTGAAAGCCATGGCAGCCGAACAGGAACTGGGAGTTTCCGAAAATAAGGGACCCTAATATAGTACCCTAAATAGTAGGATCCTTATTATAAGGACCCCAAAATAAGGTACCCCTAATTTTCGGAAACTCCCAACTGCAGCCCCAAAAGTCAGACATCCTCGGAACTTCTGCGCTTCGGATGTTGGCCAAAAGTTTCGGAGGTCACATTCAAGTCGTGTGGAAGTTGGGCATAGGTTCCTATAATGCCTGCTATGAGAACCACTACAACGGGGATACTGTGCGGGTTTCTGTTGGTCAGGTTCAGGTTCTGCGCAGGAGGGTCCCCTCCAAGTCTTCGCTAGGCCGCCTCAGCCTCAAAGAAGATCACAGAAAGTTGGTTTAGGGTCTAGGGGTTTAGAGTTTACTTAGGGTTTAGGATTCAGCGTTCAGGGTTTAGGGTGGTTCTTGATTCCCAATGACAATCGAGCCTTGCAGGGCTTCATTTCAACCTACGAGCCTTTTGATTACCGTGAATGTACCTATACTATTTTGGGGTTCCTTATTTTATTTCTGGTATAACGGGCCCCAAATCCCTATGCTAACATAAAATCCTAAACCCAATACCCTTGGCCATAAGCCCCATATGGGTGGTTGTCAAAATTATGGTCCTTTTTTGGGTCCCTATTATGGTACGGCACCTAATATTTAGGGCGCCCAAAAAAGGTCCCTAATTTTGACAACCACCCATATCCTAGACACACCCGAAGCCTCAGCCACGAGTCGAGTCGGATCAGGCAAGCAGACGAATCTTCGTCTTCGGCTTCTCAGGTGCATGCGGCTAAACTTTGGAGGTCACACCAAGTTTGAAGAACAGCCTCTGAAACTATGTATGCAATAATGTGCACAAAAACCCGGTTCTAACCAGAAAGGCCCCTGTATTAGCCAGGGCAAACCTTTACTTCCAAGCTTTGCGCGACATGTTGAACTCGACTATGAGTGTGATGCGAGGGAGGTTGAACGTTCGATGAGAGACCGCAAAACGCTAAAACCCGAAGCCAATCTTCCAAACCCTAAACGGGCCTTGCATGTTGGTTGCTCTTTCTGACTTTCAATCGTCCCCTAAACCTCTAAACCCTTAAACCCTAAACCTTAAACCCTAAAGCCTAGTCCCTACACCGGGTCGTTTATGGTTTAAGCCCACTGACTTGCATTTACCTTGGTCTCTGCCGCCAGGCACTCTTCTTCCCAGGAAGCCCTTGCCTGAGGATGCGGCTTTAGGGTTTAGGGTGTAGAGTAGAGGTCGAGTCTTCAAGTTCTGGGCTTCAGGTTTAGGGTTTCGGGAAGGGAGTGGGTTTGTAGGCGATTAGGGCTTCATCAAGTGGGAATTCAGTTTTGGTATCGAGGGTAGTCGCAATCTCATGTTCTGGTTCTTTGCGGATCCTGTCGAAATTACGTAGTATTATGTATAAACAGATATATGCATACACATATAGTATGTATGTATGTATGCATGCATGTATGTATATAGATATACGCCCATCTTTCATTGGTATACATACTTCATTCGCGTATGTCTTTATCAGGCATATACACATGTATACACATATATATATATACATATGTGCATATGTGTATATATATATATATGTATATAGAGTGCACGCGCAAGCATGTGCATGTCTGTATCTATGCCCTCATCTGTACATCAGACTGTATCTGTTCTTGCATGTACCCTGCGTTTGAACCTGTACCTTTCAAAAGGTATTCGTCTTAGGCCTTGGGCACCCATGTATGCATGTTTTCATGCACTACCACTACCACTACCACTACCACTACCACTACCACTACAACTACAACAACAGCAACTACTACTACTACTACTACTACTACCACCACTACCACTACTTCCATGCACTTCTACCACTACTATATACCACTACTGCCACTACTGCCGCTACTGCCACTACTGCCACTACTGCCGCTACTGCCACTACTGCCACTACTGCTACTACTGCTGCCACTGCTGCCACTGCTGCCACCGCTGCCACTGCTGCCACTGCTGCCACTGCTGCTACTGCTGCCGCTGCTGCTACCTGCTGCTACGGCTGCGTCTGCGGCTGCAGCTGCTGCTGCGGCTGCGGCTGCTACTACTGCTACGACGACGACGACTGCGACCAACTACTACCTACTACGTGCCACCTACCACCTCGGCAGGAGCATGTGTGGTTTATCATATGCTCCCATGAGATGTTTTTCTTGCTATGTGATAGCCGTTCGCCGTAGATAGTGCGAATTTGGTTTGGTGCCTTTGTGTTTTCTGAGGTCGCTCCTCACACACACACACACACACACACACACACACACACACACACACACACACACACACACACACACACACACACACACACACACACACACACACACACACACACACACACACACACACACACACACACACACACACACACACACACACACACACACACACACACACACACACACACACACACACACACACCACACACACACACACACACACACACACACACACACACACACACACACACACACACACACACACACACACACACACACACACACACACACACACACACACACACACACACACACACACACACACACACACACACACACACACACACACTGCCTACATATGTCTTGATTTGCTCCCAATCCTGTCATCTGCTTGTCTTGTTACATGCCGGTCTAACCGGACTCTCTGCCGACATCTCAAAATATAGTCCCTATCCGAACTAGAATCTGATGCGCACTCAGGTCCAAGATCCAAGCCAAGCTCCTGCCAAAGTTGCACCCTGTGCTGTTCGGGAATCTCAAGGCACGGCTTCACATGAGTAGTTCTCTAAACTAGGGTCCCTGTTAGGGTACGCTTTTGTGAGCGTGCCGTACTATCTTGGGGACCTAAACAGGGACCCGACTTGAACAAACATGCTACATATGAGTCTCCGGCAATGCGTGCCCTGATTTCCAGAGCTGTCGGGACTTGGATAGCGAGAGCGCTTCCGTCACCTCAGCTGCATTGCCCTTGAGCCTTCTGGCAGCCACATTGGCATGAACATCGGCATCCATTCCCCACAGCGCTTATACCCACGCCTGCAAATTACTGGGTCTTCTAGCCACCTCAACCCTGCACGGACTAAATCACAAACACCTGAGCATCATGTGGGTACTGCGCCTACAATTCACACCCTTGAATCCTAAGACCCAATCCTCGAAAACATGCCATAAAACTTGAAACCCCAGGAACCACAGAAGTCCATACAACCCCTTTCTTTTGTCAGAGAGCCGTCTCGCCGCTCGAATGGCGGGCACCAAGCGGAAGTCCCCGGATTCCCCGCCGCCGGGGCCGGGAGACTCCGGCGACCGCTGGGTCTGCTTCATCCGGCATGCCCAGGTGGGGGTTCGGAGGAGGGCCCGGGGGGAAAGCATGACAGCCAAGATAGTGAGTATTGCGACTACTCCTGCTGCTCCTGCTGCTCCTGCTGCTCCTGCTGCTCCTGCTACTACTCCAACTTCTCCTACTCCTACCCGTCCTACCTGGCCCTAACCCTGGAGCGAAGAAAACCCTAGGCCCAACCCCCAATCCCTAAACCTCAATATAGGCCGAGGAACAATTAGCAGCAGTGTTCCCCTTTTTTCGAGACCGTACAGCCTCCATAGATACCGGCCCCTTAATATAGGGGCCTAAATAGTTACCAATATTATTTTTTTGAGGTTTCGTATTTTCGTATCATGGTCCCCAAAAACCCTGTTCTAATTATTAAGGCCCCTTATGCGAACCCCTACAGCTCTAGCTCAGAACCTGGACAGCCTTCATTCAGGTGGCAGTGTGGGAAACTCTTTAAAGCTTCCCTTGAAGGTTTAGGGTTTCTCTGGAGGTACCTATTCATAACTACTTTTTTTGGGCACCTAAACCCTAAACCCTAAACCCTAAACCCAAAACCCAAAACCCTAAACCCTAAACCCTAAACCCTAAACCCTAAACCCTAAACCCTAAGGGCACCTAAAAAGCAACCCAGTGACTCGCGAGGCTTTTTGGGGTGTCTCGGGGTTCAAGCGTAAGACGAGGGGGTTTCGGATGCATAGATGTAGGGGCCTTGAGAATCAATACCTACCCCCATAATATTCTGGGGGTTCCATATCATCAGGTTAAGGGCCCTATAGTAGATGTTTAGGGTATTGGGGTCTAGGGGCTGACGAGGGTTTGGCTTCTCTCTCTCTCTCTCTCTCCCTCTCTCCCTCTCTCCCTCTCTCCCTCTCTCTCTCTCTCTCTCTCTCTCTCTCTCGTTTTTGTTTGTTTGAATGGTTCGCATGTGCTGTCTCTGCTCAGGCGCTGCACAACGCGGCTTGGCATGTTCTTCCGGGGGCTCGGATCAGGGCGGGAGGTTTTCAAGATCGTAAGATTGAAGAGTGCCACCACGAGAGATGCTAAGCAGGTTGTTGCGGGTCCTAGACGATACTTGAGAAATCGTAGCCAACGGCTCAATGTTCAGTCTAGACGCCAGTTGCCTGTGGCTTGGCGAGACTGCGACAGAATGGGCAGCGGCGGCAGTTGCTTGCCTTCTGCATCTACAAAAGTGCTCCCACAAGGCGCGCTCCTAAACCCTAAACCCTAGACCCCCAAACCCTAAACCCGAAGAAGTGCTCCCACAAGGCGCGCTTCCAGCGCAGTGCGACAATGCTTTCCATCAGCTCCGAATGGCCCAGCTCGACCTGTACCTGAATACCGTGAGTCGGAAGCCGGAGGCCTTCATACAGGCGGTTGAAAGGCGCCGGCAAGAGCAGGAGGGTCTGGTCGACAGTGTATCACTCCGAGGACTGCCAGGACTGCTTGCCGCCGATGAGCCGACGAGGGAGGAGGGTTGACCAGGCAGTGCCTGTCTTTCGACTTCCGGCTAGGGAGACCCCCTAGTATTGTCAGCAAGCACTTGGAAGGGTGCCAGTTGTCTTTACATTTCCTGAACCTTGCTTCGCATCCTTGTCTGCGTATAACGTAAGCCGAGTGCAGCTGGAGGGAGCATCAACTTAAGAGAGGTAAACCCTACACCCTAAACCCTAAACCCTAAACCTAAAAAAAAACCCTAGACCCTACAGATGCCGGGACCAACTTGCAGACATGGAGCCTTCGCGAGGAAGCGAGTTTTTTTTTCGTGTCCCCGGCGCACTTGGGGTTCCGGGCTTAATATCCCGGTCCAGCGGATATAGGCTCTATCAGATAGTCCTAGAAGTAGAGTAGCAACCTTTAACCTTTTTTGGGTTGTATAGTCCCTATATGATCCCTTTATAACCAAAAAGGTTAACCTTTAGTTCCGCATGATACCCGACAAGTAGACAGTAGTACACATTTCGAGTTTCAATATTCGTACACGACGATGACTGTTACGAGGGTTTTCATGGTGTCAGTAGCATGATTGGACATTGCTGCCGCATCCAAGAGCAATGCCGGGATAATTTTAACAAGTCGTATCGCGAAGAGGATGTGGCTCTCTCATGAACGACCACCAGTGCTATGCCGCACTAGATGTATGCGCTGCGTTGATACCCGCGTGTTGCTGAAGTCTTACAAGTTTGATTCTGTAAGCTGAGCTTGAGCCAAAACAGCATCCTCCGCAAGGCACGTGCCATCTGGCCATCAGTTCTGCGAAATGTTTGGCAATGGAACGCCTCTGCCTGTATGGCTACATTGATGCAGGAAGCACATCAGACGAGTTTCTTATACTATAGCATGGTTATGGCTGACCACCTCACATCAGCAAACTTCAGGCTGAGCGCACAAGTGCTCATGTCTGAGCACGCCGTTTTATGTTCCAGCCCAGCATGGTGTCACTGTGTCACACGAAAGACTTGGTGGACGACGAAGAAATCAGAAAACCGTAGGCTTTGGATGCCCAGACAGAAGAAGCCGCTGCGTTTCAAGAGCCCCTAATATAGGGGCCTAAATAATTGCCTATACTATTTTGGGGTTCCTTATTCTCATTATAGTATAATGGGCCCCCAAATCGTATTCTAATTATTACGGTCCCTACACTAAATCCTCATAAAAGCCTTATAGTAGCCCTTATAGACCCCCGTTAAAGCAACCCTTTAAAGGAAGCCTGTTCGAACAATTCAGGCCCCCATAGTAAAGCCTTTCCACCCTGAACCCCAAAGGCGCAAACCTCGAGATTGAGCTGCTGGGTTGAAGGCCCTTACCTTGTTACTTCAAGGGTTTAGGGTGGGTTTAGGGGTTTAGGGTTAGTGTTTAGGGTTTAGGTTTTGGGTAAGCAGTAGGGAATGTGGGAGTGGATAATGGAGACTGTTGTGGGGATTATATAGGGACTTCTATACGGATCGATTCCCCCATTCCCTACTAAGCACCAGACAGAAGGGTAAGGGCTACTATCAGGGGGTCTACTATAAGAGCTATTATAACGGTGTCTACAGGCTTTATTGTGAGGGTAGCAGTGAGGGTTGTTGGCGCAGGGGATCGCTTGTTAGAAGTTTGTCTATGCTGGTCAGTATACGGGTTCCTATAAGGAGTCTAGAGGTGAAGGCGTTTAAGTTTCCCTGAAGAAGGCATCCCTACAGTACTCCGATTGCGGAACCCTTATACAATCCTCAAGCCCGTATGAACCCTATGCCCGAAATCTGAAACCCTAGGCCCTGAGCCCTAAGCCCCAACACCCCTCAAAAAACAGCTTAAACCCAAAGCACTAAGCCCTGAACTCTACACCCTGACCGCCTCAAACCCTAACCCCTACACCCTAAGCCCCAGACCCTAAACCGCACCTTGAACAAGAAATCAAACCCTAAACCCTTCCTTTTTTGGGGGTTCGTGCCCAATCGTCCAAGGTTTGCGATGACAACCTCTGGACTCCAGACAACCCGTGCCTTAACGGCTCGGAGGGGTGGGGGTGGAGGGGCGGGGGTGCGGAGATTCAGGTTTTCAGGTTTAGGGCTTAGGGTTAGCGCTTTTGAGGGTTGGGTTCTACAGGGTTTGGGGTTTAGGGCTTAGCGTACTTTAGGTGTTAGGGCTTTGGGTTTGTAGAAGCGGCTTATAAGGGTACGACGGTTCAATGTGTGTCGGGAAGGTATTAGTGGCACCTCAGTAGAACTTTTGCAATTGAGATAGGGTAAAAGGAGGGACCCTTAATCAGGACCCCGAGGTATACACCCTTAATATAGCTATTATATAGCCAATTATATAGCCCATTAAAGGGACCCAGGGGTCCCCATTAAGGGTCCCTCTTTTTGCCCGTTGAACATGATGATGATGAGCACCTGGCAAGATGAAACAAAAGTACCTTGGTATTTGGGGGTTTCCGAAAATAGGGGACCCTAGTATAGTGCCTTAAGTAGTAGGATCCTTATTATAAGGACCCCAAAAGAAGGTACTCCCCAATTTTCGGAAACTCCCATTTGGCATTGCGCCTTGCGCCGCTCACGCCTTGCTGTTTGCAGCACAAGCACTACTTGGAGGTTCACGCGTAGATATAAGTGGGGTTATAAGATTTTAATTGTAACCCATATTAGGGGACTTTGAACTCCACTTATAGCTACCCATGAACCTCCAAGTAGGGGTGTCCGAGAAACTGATATGGGAGCTGCTGCGAGTCAGCTGTGTATCATTGTGTCAACCAAGACTCCCCTGGTTTCGATGTCGTTTTTGCTTGTTGTGCTGCTCGTGTGGTGTACTATTGCGACATTCATGGCTGATACCAGCCCGGCCTGGGCCGTTCCTATCGCAGGACACCCTCCCCTCCCCTGGCGCGAGCCATTCCTGCCACCCTTTCCGTGCACCCTGTCCCCTCTTTGGCCCCTTTCAGACAGACCTGGGGGTTTCCGAAAACAGGGGACCCTAATATGGTACCCTAAATAGTAGGAACCTCATTATAAGGACCCCAAAACTAAGGTAGCCCTGATTTTCGGAAACTCCCCCACCTGCGACTGTTGGTGTTTGGCAGTTCAGGCAAGGGGTGCAGTAAAACTGCAGGATGTCTTTCAGGGGAGTGGCTCCATGCAGCTGGCTGATGCTGTTCTTCGGTTAATATAGGGGCCTTAGTAATTAGGATAAGGTTTGGGGGTAGATTATACTGTAAATATAACAAAGTGACCCCCAGAAGAGCACAAGTATTAAGGCCTCTATATTAACCAGAGACCAGAGCTTCTTTCTCTTCATGGGTCGTGCAGCTGCGGGTAGTACCTTGCAGAGACATGTTACGCCACGGCGCTAGTGGTCTTTTTTCGCATGTACTCCAGGTTATTTCTGTGGTGTACAACCCCTCTGCCGAGCAAGTGTTTGGACTTTTTGGGCGTCTTTCAGTTGAGGCTGCGTGTGATTTGTGGTCTCACCGGAGAGGCCCCATACAGCCCGTCGAAGTTTACGTTCCGACAGGGCGCACAAGCCGTGGCCAGTCATACTTATTCAACAATGACGAATCAAGTGCTTAACCCTCAGCCTTCGTATGTTAAAGCCTTAATTTGATTATGAAGGCACCCTCAACCGCAATCACCTTGTCACAAGTCACAAAAACTTCATAGAACCCTCATAGAACCCTTGCAGCATCCTCGTAGAACCCTAAACCCCAAACCCCAAACCCTAAACCCTAAACCCTAAACCCCTAAAAAAAGCCGAGGCTCACGGCGGAGGGTGAGTCGCAATGCGCAGCCGCCCACACAGAGTGGGGTGCGAAGGCTGGCAGTCGTGCACTGGCGCTTTCGGGGTTTCGAGGCTTCGGATCCTTTTAGTATAGGGGCCTAAATAATTACCTATACTATTTTGGGGACTCCTTATTATAATTATAGTATAATGGGCCCCAGAACCCTATTCCAATTATGAAGGCCCCTATATTGGGGGACTCAATGGTTTGGATGGTTTAGGGCTCGGGTATTTGGGTTTAGGGTTGAGGGCTTAGGCAAGAACTTGTTTGTGGGTCTTCCAGAGAGCCCCACGGATTCTGCAATAAGGAGGATTCTTTACATCGTACCGGACTGCTTCTTCTGATCTGAGAACTTCCTTCGCTAAGCGGTGTTGGGCTAGGGCGAAGGTTTGAGTGAGGAGTTGAAAGGACGTCAAGGTGCTTCCGTGCGAATATTGGTGCGAAGATGCACGTCTGGGGTTCTTGAAAGCGATAAGGTCTTGCTGCAGGGCGCTTGAATTTTCGGGCATGGCTTTGGAATCTCAGGTGGAAGTAGGCTCATTGCCAGGGCTCGGGGTTTCAGATTTAAACACGCCTCGCAAGCCCCAAAACCCGAAACCCTGAACCCTGGCCCTAAACCCACAACAGTCAAAATCACCCTTCAAGGAGTCCTACACACCCGAACGGTCTTAAAGCCATACATAGACCCAGATTCTCTGGTTCCCGGAGGCGTGGGGGTTTCAGAAAGCTACCCCTGTGTAACCAATATTGCGGCCTTCTTCTCGCCCTTCCGTTTCCCTTATGTGGCCCATCAACCCAGAACTCTGGCGGTACCTTTCAACAAGGGCACTACGCCTGGAGGTCTTTGGTGATGCTGACCTTATCGTGGTGTCGCCCATGACCCGGGCTTTGCAGACGGCCTACCTGATCGGAGGCAGCACATGGGAGGGTTGGGCTCTACTTGGAGGTTCATGGGTAGTTACAAGTGGGGTTTTAAGTAGGGCAACTATACTATAATTATAACCCATATTATGGGACTTATAACTCCAGTTATAACTACCCATGAACCTCCAAGTAAAGGGTGCTTAGCGACGCGACTCCGCCCGGGATTGGCGCGGCATCGCGCTTCCCCCCGCCCCGCCCGTTAAAACCCCTTTAAGTTTAAGGAAGCACATCAAAATTATCCCCAAGCCACAGGAACACCGCCCAGTCTCTCCAGGTGCCGATCGCCGATAAAAACACCCTGGCGGGATTTTTGGGAAATCCAATCACTGAAATATCACTGAAATAGGCAGCCTCCCGTGGTTTGCTACTTTTCTCTGAAATATGCTGGGTTTCGTTGTTGTGATTTGAGGGTTATTGCTGACCTGCCAAGTCTCAAGGGGTTCTCTGAGTGCCTCCCGGCTCTCTCGCGCTTTCAGCAGCACCCTCATAGCAGGGTGCAGCAGGTCTAAGGTTTAGGGCAGGGGTTCTGGGCTTCCCAAAGAAGCCCCCCTCTACCCTAAACCCTCTACCCTAAACCCTAAACCCTGAACCCTGAACCCTAAACCCTCTACCCTAAACCCAAGCGCCTGGACCCCATTTTGAAACCGTCTCCTGTGGGCTCATGGTCCAAGAGCCTGCAACCTCGAACCCAGAGCTGTAAACGGGGGTTTCCGAAAATAGGGGACCCCAATATAGTAAATAAAGTACCCCTACTTTTCGGAAACTCCCAAATCCTACATCCTACACCCCCAGGCCCTTGGACGCTTTAGGCCCGAAGCTCCAAAACATGAAGTCAAACCCCTCAGGCCCACCGCGAAAACTTGAACTTCAGTCGTCCGTACCTAAACTCGAAGCCTGAACCTGGCGCTAATCGCTTCATTTCTCACTTCCTGAATCCCTTTGTAGGATTCGTATCGAAACCTTACAGCCTGAAGAGAGCCATGACAAGCACCCTCATGTAATCCTTGAAGGAACACTCGAACGAACCCTATAGCAACCCTCAAGCGAGCATTTATGGAACCCGTATATAATATTATACAAGTATATAAACCCTAAAAGGAGCCTTTCAACATCCTTTTAGGAGCCCCAAAACCTAATCCCTAAACCCGATAACCCTAGAGATCCCTGTAAAGGAACCCTACCCATTACCCCTTTAGGATCCTTAGTTGCAGAGTTCATGAGCCAGCTACTAAGGATCCCACTCCCTAAATCTTATAACCCTAGAGATCCCTTTAAAGGAACCCTACTTCTTACCCCCTTTAGGATCCCTTAAAAAGGAACCCCCCTAAACCCTAAACCCTAAACCCTTTAGGATCCCTTAAAAAGGAACCCTCCCAGAAAGGGCTTTCGAAAGCCTACGTCACCAGGTCTGAAAGCCGAGGATCCCCGGATACTCGTCTCTCCGATGTGCCTTACAGAATAGAATTAGCTTCGGGTTCCCTTAAAGGGCTACTATAAGGGCTATTATAAGGATTTGACAAAAATTGGTTTTCGGTTTTAGGATAGTAGTTATATAGGTTAGGATTTGGAGATTATTTGATTATTAGGTACTTGGGACCCTTGGGGTAAGAGGCTTAGGCTTTCTTAGGGGGGCTAGAATTACTTGAAGCGTGGCCTTTAAGGGGTACTCTAGGGCGGCTTTAAGGTATAGGATGACGGGTTGAGGGTGGGGCTTGGGGTTTGGGATCTCGCTTTAGGATTTAGGGCCTTTACTTGGAGGTTCATGGGTAGTTATAAGTGGGGTTATTATTTGTAGCGTAACTACAATCATAACCCATATTAGGGGACTTAGAACTCCACTTATAACTACCCATGAACCGCCAAGTAGGGATTTGAAGTTTGGGGCTTCGGGTTTAGGGTCGAAGGCTTATGTGGTCTAGCTAAACTGAGAGGAGACATAGATCCCATGGTTTTGACAACCACCGTAGTTGCATCCTGCTATTATGATGAGTGTAACCATGGCCAGTGGTGGATTTTCAGACATCACCAGGGTGTTCGTGCTTGCCGCTATTGCTACACTGCCGCCGCGATTGCTGCAGGCACGGCGGTGACAACGACGACGACGACGAAGATGTCGACTGTGACGCGGCGACGACAACGGCGAGGGCGATTGCGCGGGCGTGGGCGCTGGCAAGGCTGAGGGCGCTGTCGAGGACGGGGTCGACGACCACGACGAATAACGTGACGACGAGAACGAGTAGCACTATCGTCACTATCACCCCTAGCATTGTTGTCTTTTCTTCACATGTGGACGCGAACCCTAAACTCTGGCCCCAAACCTTAAACCCTAAAGCCAAACACTCTAAAACGCCAAAATGCGCCAAGCCCCTATAGAACTATTCTGAAGTCCCTCGCACAAAAAACCTGTTGTTTGAGCTTTCGAGGTGTGCGGAGCACCTCAGTGGCGCGACCTGCGATGCCGCTGGAGCTGCACTATTTCGGGATTCCTGAATGTATTGTATGTTGACTATAGTGGTTAATGTGGGTTGCTTCATATATTTGTGTTAGACCTGCAGGGCTTGCTCATAGGGCTGCCATAGGGCTTGCAACGGGCTACTATAGGGGCCCAAATAATTACCAATACTATTTTGGGGTTTCCTTACTATACTTGCAGTGTAATGGGCCCCCGGAACCCTATTCTAATTATTAAGGCCCCTGTATTAGGCATCTCCCTGTCCTCGCATGGAGCTCAAAGAGATTTCGGACTTTTGGACTGCACGGCTCAAACTCATTCGAAGCTTGCTACCAGTTACAAGGCCTTAAAACCTCGACCCTTTGAACCATAAGCCACTTAAAAGTCACCATAACGACATTCAAAACTCGGAGACAGCACTCTAAACGCCGTAAATAGTAGCGAAGAGCACTCAAACTACCAAAACCTCGGACACCCGAAACCCCACCAGACAATCCTAAACCTTACGCCCTCAGTCCCTGAAGCAAACAATATCAAAACCCTTGTAAAGCCCTTGGAAGCCCTATGACTCCTACAACGACTTGCAAGCCCGATGAATTGTAAGAGCTATAGGGTCTAGCATAGAGATGTCGGAACAACTAGTAACAGAGTAAGGTAAAAGCCAGAAAGTTGGAATATGATTGTCCTAACCCTTCTATGGTAAATCACAGGGTATCCTACCATGAAACCATATTCCAACTTTCTGGAGTTCCCTGTATTGGGTTTCGGGTTTAGAGTAACGAATCCAAAAAACCCTAGAAAGCCCTGTAAACGCTACACCGACACCCTAGAAAGCCCCACGAAACCAACAAATCCCTCACAGAGCCTCTTGATAGAACACACAGAAACCCTAAACCCTAACCCCAAACCCTTTTAGCACTAAATTCCCAAACCCCAAACCCTAAAGCACTAAATTCCCAAACCCCCAACCCTAAAGCACTAAATTCCCAAACCCCAACCCTAAAGCACTAAATTCCCAAACCCTAAACCCCTAAACCTTAAAAGTTTCTATCCCAGGAGGGGAGGAGCTTAGAGGAGCTCCGGAAAGAGCTGCCCTGGGCCATGGGCCCTTTGGCGCCTTATTTCTATTACTACTATTGTTACTGCTACTGTTACTATTACTGTTACTGTTACTATTACTGTTACTATTACTGTTACTATTATAGTATACTGTTCTTACGAGTATTGCCATTATGATTGTTATTGTTGTTGTTATTGCTATTGTTGTTCTGTTGTAAGCCTCTCGGCTCAGGAAAGGTCAGGCTAGTACAGCTGCCTTTTTCCTTTCTTGCCATGGCATTTGTCAGCGCCTGAGCAGTCCCGGTCCCAAGTCCGGGAGGGAGTTCTAGATTTACAGCTCTCTAACATCTCCCAGAGGTGAGGGTTGTCGGTATTGCGAAGCCGACAGGAGCCGTACTCAACATGAGTGCTGCGAAACAGCCTAGTGGTTCGACCAAGCATCAGCCCGTTCCTAAAGGGAAGGGTAAACGCTCTTATCAAAGGGCAGCACGTAAAGCTCTGCTTGAAGGTAGTGCGGTCTACAAGGGAAGGACGATGTCGTCAACAGAGCTTGGAGTTGCTCCGGCACATGTAAAGCCCACCAATCCCGGCAAAAGGACTCGGCCTTCGAAATTTACAGAAGATAAGAACCTCAGCTATCTATCCTGGAATGCAGGATCTCTCACAACAGCAGTTTGGGAAGAGTTACTCTCCGTACTGCAAAGTGCCGCATTTCAGGATGTGAAGCTAGTAGCGATTCAGGAAACACACTGGAGGGGCTCTTGGCAATTCAGCAAGTCAGGCTGGCATGTGATCAGCTCTGGCTCCACAGGGGAGAAGGGAGCCGGGGTTCTCATAATGGTGCACTCCACGCTGTGCAAGTCACAGGATCTTCGCTACAACGAGGTAGTACCAGGACGAGTTCTCCAGGTCCGGGTGCCGAGCAAAGGCATCTCACTGGATGTCTTCAGCTGTTATCAATACGTTTGGCGCTCTAAGGAGACAGTCGCTCAGAATAAGGAGACCCGGAAGCAGACCCTTCACGCCCTAAGTAAGTCCATCAGAGCTGTACCCAATCGCAACACTCTCCTTGTGCTAGGAGATTTTAACTCCTCGCTAAAAACTGACAATAAACATGTAGGGCCATGCACGATCCAGACTTGCAGACTCGGGCATCGCGGATCAAAGGATCTCCAGACCCTACTGTTGGAGCACCAGCTAGTTGCAACCAACACTTGGGGAGTGCATAGACCAGCCACTCATGTACAAGGCAACTCTGTCTCACAGATCGACTTCTCGTTTGTCAGGATTGCACAGTCCCAAGGCCCTGCCAGGTTTTGCCGGCCGCTAAGGACCTTCCCAGTTGCGTCCTGGAGGGATGGTAGTAGGCATTTCCCCCTTCTAGGTAAATTGAGACACAGCAGGAGATACTCCGCCCAAGTCTCCAAACCCTATGACCAGCAGGCAATGGAGGACTGCTATCGACATCGTTCACCGAAAATACAGGCGTTTGCTAGGGAGGTAGATTCCCTCCTTCAGGATCCTCCTCAAACCTGGCATAGCCTCTATCAAGCAATGAACTCAGCCCTAGTGACTCACTTTCCCAAGAGAAAGGATTCAGCACCAAGACCCGATCTCAGCATCTGGGAGGAGCGCTCTGTACTGCGCTCACTTCCACTAGCAGTCAAGGTCTTATCAGAGTTCTTGCCCGATCTGCAGGTTCGTATGGTGTTTCGCTGCTGGAGCTCTTTCTCCAAGCAAAGTGCACAGGCGAGGATAGCAAAGCATCACAAGCAGGAGCGGCGGCGGCAGGAAATAGATGAACAACTCGAGCAGGCAGAGCTTAAGTCCAAACAAGACGGGAGTCATTCCCTTTACAAGGTAATCAAGCGCTTTAGGTCGGGGAGACCTCAGGAAAGAGTTCAGCTTCGTGACTCTGAGGGACGCTTCCTTACTGCCAAGGAAGAAAGAAGACAATTAGAGGAATATTCCCAAGATCTGTTCGGAGCAGGGGATGACTTCCCGCTCTCAGGGCTGCAAGGCAGCCTGCACATCACAGACCACGAAGTGGAAGAACAGCTTGGCACAATAAAGCTTGGCAAGGCAGTTCCTAAAGAGAGTCCTCCCGTAGTAGCCTGGCGCTCCCTAGGCCCTCAAGCAATCCGGCTCATCTCGGACACCCTAAATAGGGAAGTCACTGCCGGAAGGCTTTCGGACAGTGTCACCTCGTCACAGATCTCCTGGCTCCCAAAGCCTCCAAAGAAGCCAGACAAACCAACCTCACTTCGTCCGATTGGGGTGATAGCGCCTGAGGGTAAGGTCCTAGCCGGACTAGTGAGGAAGAGACTCAAGAATACCCTTCATCAAGCAATGACCGGAGTCTCGCAGTTCGGCTTCGTCCCAGGCAGGGGTACAGAGGAGGCTATCTGCAAAGCCCTCACACATGTAGACCAAGCCAGGTTCAGACAGGCCCTTACCACTAGGGCTGCTGGTAAGGGACAACAGGGGCTGAAGCTCAAAGGCAGTCTCACCATGAGCGTTGACATGAGCAAAGCTTTTGACACTGTAAACAGGCTGAGATTAAGAGAGGCCCTTGAAGCTGAACAAGCAGATCCTCTTTTGATAGAGGTGGTAGGTCATCTCCACATCAAAGCCTTGTACAAGATGACAGCCAGTGATCAGAGCTTTGAGATAGCCACACGCAGGGGAATCAAGCAGGGTTGTAAGCTCGCACCCTCATTATTTGCCTTTGCATCGGGACTCCTCTTTAGAAAGCTCTCTGGGAAGATCAACCCAGCTGAACTAGTGAAGCTCCTCACAATGTACGCGGACGACAGCCTGATCCAGTCACATTTCGACACAGAGAATGGCCTAATGACAGCACTAGGGTACTGCGACCTGCTTTTGGATCAGCTAGTAGAGCTTGGGTTTAAGGTCAATCCGTCCAAGTCAGCAATCCTGCTGCAGCTGCAAGGGGGCTCAGCCTCGACCTTGAGAAAGAAACTCTTTCGCCAGGTTGAGGGAGAGAAGTTTGTTGAACTTCCTTCGGGCAGGCTGATCTCGCTTCGCTACCAGGTCCCATACCTTGGGGTCATTCTCTCTTATCACGACTATGAAATGAAGACTCTCAAACATAGGCTATCCTCCAGTAAGCTTGCAATGTCAGAAGTAGCCCATGCAGTTCGGAACCATCGAGTCTTATCAGACAGACGTCGTCTGTCGATTTGGACAATAACTGCGTGGGCCTCTGCTTTGTATGCACTTCATGTGGTGGGGATGACACAGCAGGGATTGCAAAAGCTCCATTCACACATGATGTACCAACTCAGATTCGTCCTGCGGAGTTACTCCCAGGAAACGAAGGAATCAAACCAGGAGTTACTCCGGAGATTACGGATTCCTCATGTGAAGGAGCAGCTGCAAAAGAGACTGACCCAGTTCATAAAGAGACAGCAACACTCCGATCCCCAGCTTCTCCCCCACTATAAGTTGCGAGCTGAGGCAGTTAGCCAGGTTCTGGCAGGCCTCTCCACGGACTTTTCCTCGCAACCTGTTGAGGATAGGCTTCTGACTTGCACTGAATGTGGAGCATGTCTCTCTGGCACCGGAGCACTCCGTCGCCACCTGCAGAAGGCACACCCAGATTCACAGCAGTGCTTGAAAGGACCCAAATTTGATCCTATCTTGCACTCAATGCCAGGGTCAGCAACTTGTGTTGCCTGTCGAGCAACATTCCGATCAGTGTTTTATCTGCGCAAACATGTAGAAGCATCTACCTGTCCAAGGGTAGAGCTTTTGCTCAGGCAGCAGGAAGAGCTACCCTTAGAAGCACAGAACCGGATCTCACTCGTAGAATGTCTACAGTCTGAGGCCCAGGACAATCCAGAAGGTGCCGCTCGAAATCCTGCGTTCCATGATTACCTGATGGAACACTGTGCACTCTGCGGTCAGGTCCTCGTTGGTCAGAAAGGAGCCAAACAGCACCTAAACAAGCAGCATCCTGATGTGATGGCCAAGCTTGAGAAAACTCTCCAACCAAGACTCGCTCAGTTCAAGGTCTTCTTTCACAAAGGAGATAGCTGTCGTTATTGCAAACTCAGGGTGGATGCCCCGGGTAGACATGCTCAGCAGTGCGTTCCACTCCTGCAGGTGCATGTACTGCAGGAGGTAGCGCGTCAGCAACTCAGCAAGCAGCCCCGAGAATATACTCGAACAAGGCCCAACACCTCGGCGAAGCCAGCCACCAAAAAGCCTACAGACTCGATGCCAGGTATTCCGCTACCCGAATTTAGACTGGACGGCTTTCTTCTGCTAGCCAACACTCGTAACCACTGCTATGCCAACTCAGGTCTACAGTGTCTGCACTGGCTTGCAGATCCTTCAGCGGCGCCCTTTCAAGAGGCAGCTCGGATCAGTCTACTCGCGAGAATAACCCCTGAACACAGAGTTTTCTCGGAGCTCACCACGGGCTGGCTCTTTGACGGAGGACAGCATGACTCTGCAGAGTTCCTTCAGCAAGTGTTTCGGAATCTGTCTGCTTCAAGATTTGGACAGTGGGAAACTCGCGCTTCAGTTCCAGAGGGTGTGATAGTCGATGAAGAAGGGGGTTCTCCCATTCACCTTGCCACGGCGATCAAGCCCAACCTGCAGGACATGCTAGTGGCATGGTCGTCTCAGGAGCGCTCCTGTGCACTCATAGAAGCTGCACAACACGTGTGCTTAGCTTTGCCGAGATTTGCAGGTGAAGCAAAGGATCACCACAGCATTGCCCTCCCACAGCAAGTTCAGATTCCTGTCTTCCTAGATCACACTTCCCGAGTCTCCTTCTGTACCTACACAACTGAGGCAGTAATCATTCACCTAGGCATGGAGGCCACTAGTGGTCACTATCGAGCAGCAGTACACAAACAAGACTCTTGGTATATTGGTGATGATTCTCACCCTCCCTGCTCCCTTGATGATCACCTGCTTCAACAGAACTGTTATGTCATTTTCTTATCCCGCAGCGCCGTCTCTCCCGAGCTCCACGCCGTAGACATTCACCCGAACAATGTCTCTGCAAGAGCT